GATCACTCCATTTTCCCCTTACAGAACACGGGAAGGGGGTGGGGTGGCGGTCACTGAATTCTCTCCCCTCAGAAAACACAACTCCCCTCCTTTCTCGCCTTACAAGTCACAGGGGGTCTTCCCACTCCCTTCCCTCACAGATCACAGGAGGATCCCCTAATTCTCCCCTCAGAAAAGACGGGAAGGTCTCTCCATTCTCTCCCCTCACAAAACACAAGAGGGCCCTCCCATCCTCCTGCCTCCCCCTCAGACTCCCCTCAGACTCCTCAGGCACCGCCCCCCCCAACCCCTTCACCTCAGGAGCCCCCCCCCCCCTCAGGCCCCGCCCTCAGCGACCCCCTCCCGGCCCCTCCCTCACCTCCATCCCCGAACTCCTCGCGGAAGAACTGGGTGGGGCCGGCGGCCGCCAGGAGGGCTCCGAACAGGACGGGGGCGAGGACGCTGAGGGGGCTCATGGCTGGCGGGGGAGGGGGTTAAGGAACACTCGCTCCGTCCGTCCCGGCCCGGCGCCGCCCGGCACTGCGGAGGGGGGAGGAGGTGCCGCCGCCTTTTATACTTCCGCCGCCCCTCGCCCTGCCTCCGCCGCCCTGCCATTGGCCCGAGCCCGCGCGCGGCCCTCTCCCATTGGCCGCCCGCCCGCCCGCCGCCGGCGACGGCGCCCCCGAACGTTGGCGTCCCAGATGGCCGCTTCCCATTGGCTGAGCGCGGCTGCCAATGAGGAGCGACCACGCGTTCGGAGGGAGACGCCCCCCCCCCCGCCCGCCTCGCTCCGGGGGTCACGTGGGGCGCGCGCTCTTAAAGGGACAGGCCCGGGAGCGGAGGGGGGGGGGAGGGAATTGAAGGGGAAATCGGGAATATGGGGAGGGAGCAAGGCACACGCGGGGTAGGGCGGCCTCCTGCTCGCCTTCCCCTTCATACAGCGCCGCGACGCGGGGGTGATGTCATGGATTAAGTGAGGTCGCGGCAGGTGTGATCACAAGGAAGGTGGACCCCGGCCGGGGGCTGCTCTAAGGAGCCGCTGGGCCGTATCAACCCGCTGAGCTCCGCGGTGAACAGCGTGACGTCATTGTGCAACTTCCTGACGTCACTGCGCCCCCCGCAGCCACCTGCGCGACCCCCACACACACACGCAAAACACGCCACACCCAACATGGCGCCCACCACGCTCCGCACGGGGCTCTACGCCACTCCCAAGATGGCGCCCGCAGCGCGCCGCTTTGCCGGTGCCGTACGGCACTTCCGGTCCGCCGGGCTCATTTCCGGCCATGGCGCCCAGCGTGGCGGAGCGGCTCCTGCAGCGGCTGGGCCAGCCCGGCGCTCCCGCGGGGCTCTGCAGCCTCGAGGCTGCCGCCCAGCTCGGCGTCGACCACCAGACGCTCGTGGGCGCCGTCAAGAGCCTGCAGGCGCTGGGCGAGGTGCGGCCGCCGCGGCGCGGGGGGAGCCCCGGGCGCCGCCGAGCGGTGCTGACCCCCCCCCCGGTACCGGTGCAGGTGATCGAGGCGGAGGCGCGGACGGCCACGCGATGGGAGCTGAGCGCCGAGGGCGAAGAGGTGCTGCGGGACGGCAGCCCCGAGGTGCGGCTGTTCCGGAGCATCCCCGAGGAGGGGCTGCCGCAGGGCGAGGCCGTGGTGGGTACCGGCGGCACCGGGGGGGAGCGGCACCGGCACCGGCGGGCGCCGCGCTGCTCACGGCCGCTGTGCCCCCGCAGAAGCTGCCCGGGGGCTCCTTGGGCTTCAGCAAGGCCATGGCCAACAAGTGGGTGCGGCTGGATAAGGGAGCGGCCGGTGGCCCACGCGTGCTCCGCGCCGTGAGTGGCCCGGGGGAACGGGCGGGGGTCCCCGGGGAGGGGGCACGGGGGTCCCCGGGAGGCGGGAGTGCCCCGGGGAGGGGGCACGGGGGTCCCCGGGAGGCGGGAGTGGCCCAAGGTGGGGTCACTGGGAGCAGGGAGTGTCCTGAGGAGGGTTCTGGGGGTCTCTGGTTCCCGGGGGTGTCCTGAGGAGGGGTCTGGGGGTCTCTGGAAGCCGGGAGCAGGCTGGGGGTGAATGGGTGGGGGTCCTTGGGGGGGTCCCTGGGTGTCAGGAGGGTTTGGGGAGGGGTCTGCCGGCCCCCAGGAGCGTCCCGGGGGTCCCCGTGAGGCTGTGCCCAGCCCCGGTGCCCCCCGTGCCCCCCCAGGTGCCCTCGGTGCAGGACACGGTGCAGGAGCACCTGGGGCAGGTGAGGGCCGGGGGGTCCCTGCCCGAGCGGGAGCGCGCCGAGCTCAAGAGGAGGAAGCTGCTCCTGGAAGTGTGAGTGGGGCAGAGCGAATTAATTGCTCCTAAATTCCACAGTTCTACTCATTAATGAGATTAGGGGTTGTTGGTTTATCAATTTTTATTTCTATCCACGCTCTTCGGGCCTTTTGTCGGGCTGGCAATGTCCAATCTCGCAGGTTTTTGTTGTTCTCAGTTCTGCTGCTTCTCCTCTCCTTGAGGAGCCGGAGATTTAAGGCCTCACCTCCCCCATTTTGGGGTTTTTTAACTGAAATCTGTCACGGTTTACCCCAAAAAAAACCAAAACCTCAACGATCCAACAACCCAATTAACGACTGTGTGAAACCCGCGCGGGCGAAGCATTAAATAAAAACGCCGTGAAGTCGACCGTTAATGAAATTAGCGCTAATTAACGAGGAGCTGGGGGGTCACCAACGCCCTCGCTGCCCCCCCAGGACCCTCAAATCCTACTGGATCCGCAAGGGCAGCGCCTTCAGCACGGCGGTGGCGCGGCCGGAGACGGAGCTGACCCCGGAGATGATCGCCACGTAGGCGTCCCCCCGTCCCTCCCTGACCCCCCAGAACCCTCCCTGACCCCCCAGGACCCTCCCCGGACCCCCCAGGACCCTCCTCAGCCCCCCAGGACCCTCCCTGGACCCCCCAGGACCCTCCCCGGACCCCCCAGGACCCTTCCCAGACCCCCCAGGACCCTCCCCAGAGCCCCCAGGACCCTCCCCAGCTCCCCCCAGGACCCTCCCTGACCCCCCAGGACCCTCCCCGGACCCCCCAGGACCCTCCCTGGACCCCTCTGGACCCTCCCCGGACCCCCCAGGACCCTTCCCAGACCCCCCAGGACCCTCCCCAGAGCCCCCAGGACCCTCCCCAGCCCCCCAGGACCCTCCCAGACCCCCCAGGACCCTCCCCGGACCCCCCAGGACCCTCCCTCACCCCCCAGGAACCTCCCCGGGCCCCCCAGGACCCTCCCTGACCCCCCCAGGACCCTCCCTGACCCCCCCAGGACCCTCCTTGGACCCTCCCTGGCCCCCCAGGACCCTCCCCAGCCCCCCCAGGCCGGGCAGTGAGCGCTGGCCCGTCCTGCAGGGGCTCCTGGCGCCAGCTGCCCTTCAAACCCTACAACTTCTCCTCGCTGGGGCTGCCCCCCAACTGCGGCCACCTGCACCCCCTGCTCAAGGTGCGCTCGGAGCTGCGCCAGATCTTCCTGGAGATGGGGTGAGCGGGGGGCTGGGGGGCCTGGTTCACCTGTGGGGGCTTCACCTGCAGCTCCTGGGACCCCCCTCACCTGCCAGAGGTCGAGGCCGATCACCCCGAAGCTGTTGGGAGGGGGTCGGGGCTGAACTCGGCGTTGTCGATCTGCTGCGGCTGGGGGGGCACAAAATGGGGCTCAGAGGGGGCCCAGCCCCTTCCCCGGCAGCCCCCCAGGGCCTCACTTTGTCCTCGGGGGTTCTGGATCACGGGGGGGCCCCCCCAGGTTCACGGAGATGCCCACGGAGAATTTTGTGGAGAGCTCCTTCTGGAATTTCGACGCGCTCTTCCAGCCCCAGCAGCACCCGGCGCGCGACCAGCACGACACCTTCTTCCTGCTGGGTGGGTGCTGGGGGGCAGGGGGACCTGCTGGCCCCCCCTGGGACCCCTCTGAGCCCCCCGGCCCTGCCCCACATCCCTCTGAACCCCCCCTCAGCCCCCCGGCCCTGCCCCACGCCCCTCTGATCCCCCACACCCCTCTGAACCCCCCCTCAGCCCCCCGGCCCTGCCCCACACCCCTCTGAACCCCCCTCAGCCCCCTGGCCCTGCCCCACACCCCTCTGATCCCCCACACCCCTCTGACAAGCCCCCCTGCCCCCTGAGCCCCCACAAACACCCCTCAAAGCCCTCCAGCCCCCCCCTCACCGTTTTGCCCCCCCAGATCCCGCTGAAGCCCCCCAGTTGCCCCCTGGCTACTCCTCCAAGGTGAAGAAGGTGCACTCGCAGGGAGGCTACGGCTCACAGGGGTGAGACCCTGACCCTGGGGGGCGATTCAGGGGGTCCCGTGTGTGTCCCCCACCCCCCTGAACCCCCTTTGTGGCCCCCCCAGGTACAGGTACGAGTGGAAGGTGGAGGAGGCGCGGAAGAACCTGCTGAGGACCCACACCACGTCAGCCAGCGCCCGCGCCCTGTTCCAGCTGGCACGGCAGGTCTGGGGGCTTGGGGGGGGTCTGGGGGCTTTGGGAGCCTGGGCAGGGTCTGGGGGGGTTCCCATGAGAGGGAACAGAGGGGTTTTTTGGGGGGGATTAGTGGTTCGGGGGGCTCAGAGCGGTTTAGGAGGCTCAGCGTTGTTCAGGGCTCAGGAAGCTCGGAGCAATTTGAGGAGGATCAGAGCAGTTTGGGGCAATCTGGGGGTCCCAGCTGCCCCCCATCATCCCCGTGTATCCCCCCCGCACCCCAGGAGAAGTTCACCCCCGTGAAATATTTCTCCATCGACCGCGTGTTCCGCAACGAGAGCCTGGACGCGACGCACTTGGCCGAGTTCCACCAGGTCGAGGGGCTCGTGGCCGACCGGGGGCTCACCCTGGGCCACCTCATGGGCATCCTCCGGCAGTTCTTCACCAAGCTGGGTACACGGGGGGCACTGGGGGGACCCCTCTGACCCCCCGTGTGCCCCCCTGACCCCCCGTGTGCCCCCCAGGGATCTCCCAGCTGCGTTTCAAACCCGCCTACAACCCCTACACGGAGCCCAGCATGGAGGTGTTCAGCTACCACGAGGGTGAGGAGGGGTCTCCACTTGGAGCAGGGGGGTCTGGGATGACCCTGAGCTCCCCTGAGGCGGGGGGAGCACTGTGGGGTTCTGATATGGGGAGGGGGTCTGATCCTCGTCTGCCCCACCGCCAGGGCTGAAGAAGTGGGTGGAGGTGGGAAACTCGGGGGTCTTCCGCCCCGAGCTGCTGCTGCCCATGGGGCTCCCCGAGAACGTCTCCGTCATCGCCTGGGGGCTGTCGCTGGAGCGGTGAGTGGGGGGCTCACCTGGGGGGGACCCCAATGTGGGCCCATCCCACCCACTGACCCCCCAAATCCCACCTCCCCCCCAGACCCACCATGATCAAATACGGCATCAACAACATCCGGGAGCTGGTGGGGCACCGCGTCAACCTGCAGATGGTCTACGACAGCCCCATGTGCCGCCTGGACGTCTGAGCCGGGGGTCCCCTCCT